ATTATAACTAATAAACTTACCGTTAAGGACCAAATATGAGATGGTAAACTATGTGCTGCATAAACTCGTCCACTTCTTCATCAGCATCATCTGAATCAAGTTGTGGCAAACCAAGTGCTTGACCAACTCCAACTCCAACTGAAGAAGCAAGACTGCTTTGTTCACCAGATGTGAGATCTGGTACTGAACTTAAAGAACGAGCACGCTGCCTATTATCTCCAGATATACGAGAAGTTTGTGATTGATTTCCTTGCTGATGTTGATGTTGTAACATGCTAACACCTCCAGGAAGAGAACGTAGCATAGAAAATCCTTGCATTGCAGTTTCATTTGCTCCAGTAGAGGATTGTCCATTGTCTCCAGCAGATTGTGCCACAGTACTTGCTTTAGCTCCCATCCAATTTTAATAATAATAACGTGTTTGTCAATTTTAATAAAAACTTTTTGTTTAAAATAAAAATTTTAATCCACAATTGAAAGAAAAATTAAAATTATTCCAAATATTAGTCTTGGCAGTGATACACGCACTGACAATTTTTGCAAATAGTCCTAGTTTTCTTGATTTATAATGTTATAAGAATAGTCTAAATTTGAATCTTAATTTCAGCAATATGACAACACTCTGGGATTTAATATAGGCCGGAATTTTGTATACATACACTGCAATGGATAAGTCATATCGTCCAAAAGCATACCAGCGGCTTATCACGCAAAACACCCCCCGACATCTTGCTAGAAACTTCCTAGAAGTCAGTGACCAGCTTCTATAGGATATTCCATTCATGTATTTACGGTGCATATAAAGTTTAATTTTGTATCAATTTACATGAAATTTCCCTAGTGTTAAAATTTTTGCAATAATTATATGTAAATATAATAATATTCATAATTTTTTATAATTATTTATTATTTTAAATCTCGAAATATACTTTACTTTATTAAATACAATTATAAATATATTAAAAAATTATAAAATATATTATGTATGTAATATCTCTAGTTTTATTTTCAAATTTAAATATTATTACTATTATATTTATGATTATTCAAATAAAATATGTATTTTTATAATATATAAATTCTTAATAAAATCATCAAATTTTTTATTTATGTAACTTACATAATACATTTTTTCATAATAAAAGTTAAAATCTTGAAATTTAAAACGAAATATTTTTCAATCGTACTTACCTATCTTATAGTTGTAGTATTTATGTTTGTACTAATATTCCTTATAAAATATAGATGTAAGATATACTTATCGGAAAAGTTATCAGACATTTACTTCACTTTATCTTATTATATTTAAATTATAAAAATTTTTTTTTAAAAAAATTGTCATTAAAAATGTCTGCGTGGAGACAAGCAGGATTAAAGTAAAATACAATTTTAAATTTCACATTGTCACAAAAATTATTAAAAAATGTTATATAACCTGTGCTTATGTTTCAGTTACATCAATTATTCTCAAATAGCTGCTAAACTTGTTAGACAAGCATTAAAACCAGAGTTTCGAGCAGAAGCATTGAAACGTGATGAAACAAATATAAAATTTACTCAATGGAAAGATGGTAAACCTGCTAGTAAGTATATTATTTTTATTTTATTTAATTATTTTATAAGTATTTCTTTTTATGATTATATTTTTAATTTTTTATATATAAAATTAAAAAAATATATAATAAATACTTATAATAAATATGAGATTATGTTTATTTTAAATTATTATATTAAGTACAAATATTATATATAATACATACATGTAAATGAATAAATAGTTATATTTCATTGGTAATATTTAATTTTTATAAAATATATCTTTTGCAATGAATTTATAAATATATTGTATAAATATATTGAATTTGATCTCATCATTAATCATAATATATTAACTTATATATGTTACTTATGGTAAAATTTTGATTACAGCTGAAAAGTAATAAAAATATTTATAATTGTATGTAAGTGTTACTTGTTTTTATATAAAAATTTATATAAAAATGCATGATATTTATTAAATATTTATTAACAAAAATATTTGTAGAATATGTATTTGCAAGGAGTAAGGAAGGGAGGAAGATATTATTTATTATTAGATATTTTATTATATTATATTATATATTATTAAATTTATATTTCTATACAAAATAACCATATAATTAATTAGTAATTTATTAGCAAATTTAAAAAAAAATATATAAAAAAAATAAAAAGAAAACTTTTTAAATGGAATTGAAGTTTTGGATAAATCAATGTATATTCATCATATATATACTATATATGATACATATATAATACATGTATCTTACATGTATATGTATATTTATATTTAATGCAGAATCAGATTTTAATATTTTTTTTTATTTTATTTAATATTATTTTATTAAAAGTTTGTAATTTATGTTATAAATATTACTTAAAAAAATTTATATTGATCGTTAGATATTAATATGATCGTATATTATATAATAGGATATTAAAGAATACAAAATTTCATTTCATTTCATTCATTATAAATACATATATGTATGATGTAAAACATAATATTTTTCATTAAATCAATGTTTAAATTATTTTGAATAGTTTTATAAAATAATAGTTCTATAAAAAAATTTGCTTGAATTAATCACAAATATTTCACATTTATCTATCTTTCATTTTATTTTTTTTATTTCTATCTTCAATTTAATAAAAATATGATTAAAAATTTTAAATAATTTTATACATATTTGGATACTCACTTAATTTAGATCCAAGAATTCAAATATTCAAATATATATTTATTTAATTATATGTTGAAATTTTATTATTTAAATATTTAAATATTTGAAATTGATTATAACTAGTAAGAATATAATTTCTGAAAGTATTTGATAAACTCCAAAAAATTTGATAAATATATTTTTTAAAATAGAATAATTTTTTTAATAATTTTAAGATTCGATTAAACAATTTGTTTTTTTAAAAAGTTACGAAAATTATTAGATTATATATAAAAAAATTTTTGGATTATATAAAAATTGTTTCTAACATCATTTTTATTGTGTGATGAGTTTAACATTTTAAATTGTAAAAATTATTTATTTTTGTTTATTTATTAAAAAAATGTAATAATCTATAAAAATTACATTTTCTTGTTTTTTTTCAGAAAACCCATAAATTATAATATCACAGATTGATGGAGAAATCATCCTACTCTTCTAATATATACATATATATATCTATATGCATGTTCTTGCATATTGTATATGAAACAAATAAGAGATTTAATAAAATAGTAATTTATGTATAGTAATTCAACATTCTTGTAAGAAGTAAAAATATCCTATAACATTATCTGTTTCTTTTTAATTTAATCCATTTTTCTCTTAGAAGATCATCTTATAGTAGGACAATGGGCTTTACAATGTACTAAAAAAAAATATACATGTTAGAATTAAATATATAATTTCTATGTAAGACATTTTATAAACTCACCTATAAATTCTGAGACAAGATCATTATCACTATCACCACGCATTGTACCTGTTATTTCTTCATCTTCAACCATAGGAAGAAATAAATGAATAAATTCAACTGTATATGGTGGAGCTATTGCTTCTAAAACCTAAAATATAATCATTATAATATTGTTAAACATAACGTATATATTCCTTTTAAAAATAATTTTATAATACCTCTGTAACAAAATATCTAATTAAAGATACATCTGTATCTCCACGTTGCCAACATTGTTTAATGTAACATACGACGGGTACGACGCAACCTCGACTTAATAAATTCACCATTCTATCAATTAACATTTTTTTCATTTCTAACTGTATGTAAAAAAAATAGTATTAACAATTATTCATTTACAATTGTGTATTCATAATTATATTATTTTTTATAAATAATAATATTTAAATACATATTTATTGTATCGTATAAATGAATTATAAGATTTTTCAAAATAAATAATATCTATAATAAAGAATGGAATAGTTATAAACAAAGAAATGAAAATTGAATTAAATAAATTACAAATTACAATAAAAAAATGAATTGAATAAATTCTTTTTCAACTTTTTGAATGGTAAATAATTTTAAGAATATATGTTCTTCAAAAGTGTATATTCTCCACACTCTGAACATTTCTTATTTAAAGGATTCGAATCTAAATTTTAAAAAAAGAGAAATCATTTTGTTTCATTTATAAAAATGTAATTTATATTTTCTTTGCTATTCTATTTTTACCTGCACAAGTATTTCTAGTTCATCTTGTTTACTTTCAAATAATTGTACAAGAAGTTGTAATACTTTTGGATGTAATAAAGAATGACAAACTACAACTTCATCAAGTAATGCAAGATGTACAGGACAATGCTCTGTACATAATTTAAAATATGATGGCTCTGTTACAGTACATTCTACCCATCTAATTACACCTACACTTACAACAGGAAACCTAAAAAAAAAATTAATTAAATATTATTTTGTTATAAATAATGATAAAAATAATATTTAGTATATCATTATACCTTATGCTTTGATATAAAGTTTGTAATTCTGCTATCAATTCAGTAGATCCTTTATTAATATTACAAATATTGTGAACTTTTTCTATGGCTTGAATAGTTGTTTTCAATTCATCTTTGTTTAATTTTCGTGAATGTCCTTTTTTGGCTGGAATATCACATACACTAGCTGCATAAGCTAATAAATATATGTATTTGGACTTATGTTCAGGATTAATTTTTACGCCTGGTTTAAAAAGTGCATCAACCAATAATTCTGGAATTCATTAATTATAACGTTGTGTGCAGTAATTCTAAAAATAATTGTAATAAACAATAATAATAATAAATTATATTAATACCTAAGAATTGTGGATTACGAAGTAACTCTATAGGCGGTGGTTCCGCTGTTGAATAATTTCGAAATAATACACTAATATCAGCAGGATTCAAAGTATTTCGTGATAACATAGATGCCAATGCTTGACATGCACCAGGACTACTTGAAGCTCCATTAAGTGCCATTGTTATTGGAGTAACATCATGATGACTATAAATATACATATAAATTAGAAATAGATAAAAATTAAATTTGAATTGAAAACTATGTGAATCTCAAAACTTTGAGAACTTTTTATTTTCATTTCTTTTTTTAAGGACTATCTATTTTATTAAAAAATTTTAATTTCTGGAATTCTCAAATTCAGACTCGAAAACAGTTAATAAAAATAACAATTTTGAAAAAAATAAAATTTGTATGTTTTATACATAAAATAATTTGTATGTTTTCTCTACATAAATTATTATAATGAATTGATAAAATTATATAAATTAAAATAAATTTAAAAATATAAATATAAACAAATTTAATTATCATTCATTAAATAAATATAAATTAATATGATCACAATATAAATAAGCTATTTATATTTTTCAAAAGTATAAATTATTTATCATTTGGCTTTCAAGAGTTTCAAAGACTTTCGAAATTTTGAATGCTCCATTTTTAATGTGAATTATACAATTTAAATCATATTAATTACAAAACTCTGTTAATTAAATAAAATTTTTCAATTTTGCTTATGCAATGTTTCTAATATATGGAATAAACAAATAGTTAATTATTTTATTTCAGAAAAGCTTTCTTCATATTCACAGAATGCAAAAATAAAATATAAAATAACTCTTGCTTGATCGAAATAATAAATATCAGCATCATTCTGAGTATCTTGTTGCAATTTTGATTGTTTAAGAGTTGTTATATATTTTATT